GACGGAATATATTAGCAAATAGAACAGCCAAACATGCAAATTAGAAATTGAAGAGACATTAATCAATCAAGCACAACAATTCAAATATCTGGGAAGTGTTTTAACAGTGAACGGAAAGTGTGACACTGAAATCCGAATGCGTATTGGGATATCGAAAGATCCCTTCAAGAAGCTAAGCAGAGTATTAACAAACAGATAAATTTCGTTAGAAACAAAGAAGAGTACAGAATATTTTCGTAATATCAGTACACTGTCAAACGGAGAAAAATGACGTGGTTTCGACATTACAAGGCACGAGAGCCTGTACAAGACATGCAAGGCATTGTTTAAGGTGGACGTAGAAGAAGACGTCAATGTAAAAAGTGTTTGGACAATGTCAAAAAATGGACAAAAGTTACTATACCAGAAACGCTGATGGCTGCTGTAGAGAGACCGTTGTGTAGGAGGTTCAATATGGCTTCTGCATTGCGATACTCCCTAGGATTGCAAAATTCAAGAGGATGATGATGACGGCGATGATAATAATGATGTGGCAGTGAATGCTGGACAATCTCTTCAAAGATGAAGAGGAGACTTGAAACAGCAGAACAACTCGTGTGTGTTTTAACAGAGGACAGAAAGTTCGACACTGACAAATAAGGTACGCCGATGACATAGTATTGACAGCTATATTTAGCTGTCCCCCCACGTGGGGTAGCATGTGACACAAGGCCGAGTTTAACGTGGTCATCCGAGCCCGTAGGCCCGGCCAAAAATATAGCCTTCGAACCCGCCTAGTCGAGTTCGAGAGCTCTCAACCTCCCCGAACGAAACCTTGTCCTTCGGATAATGCTGAGAGTTAGACAGACGGCGGTTGCTGTAAGTTTAATACAGCTATATACATAATACATAGTATTGACAGCAGGCACAGAAACAACACTACAAGAACTCCAGGAGGATGGAAATTTAAAGCGGAAAGAGTTAACATCATGCTTGTTAGCAAAAAGGCCAGCCCAACTTACATATTACAAATTGGAGAGGTCATAATAATAATATGCATAAGAGCTATATATATTTAAAAAGGAATTATACAGGTTTTATAAATTATGCAAAAGCAATTGATAAAGTAAGGGTTGGACTTTGGAGGCTTACAGTACCAGGTGTTCCCAAGCGGTCCCCCATCTAAGTACTGACCTGGCTCTACGATGCTTAACTTCGGTGATCGAACGAGAACCGGTGTTTTCAGCGTGATTTGACCGTAAGCCAAAGTCCAACCCTTACCTCACACTCGGTGGGGGGGTGTAAACGGTAGTGTCAGAGCTATGCCGTCCGGAACTTCGTTCCTGGTAGGGCCACCCAAGGCGGACAGGTCTGACACACACGCCGGCTAACAAGGGCTCTAGTGAAAATCCAAGGAGCGTCTGCATCGGCAACCGGCGGCTTCTGGTCGTTCCTGTCTCTGCGTCTGTGGGAATCCCGCGGCAAGCAAGAACGTTATCCGAGTAGGCCTGGGTACCCTACTTCTGTAATTTATCCCAAGAATCTTCTTCTCGCAACAGGAAGAAGCCGGCTCAATCCGCCCAGGGTGGATGCCGCATCACACACACACACAATTGATAAAGTACATCACAACGAACTGTTAGATAACCTTGCGATAGGTGGGGAGGATATTAGAATAATCCAGAACCTATATTGGCAACAAACCACTTGCATTAGGGATAGGAAATTATTTCAGTAAATATACAAAAATAAAAAAGGAGTGTAAGACAAGGATGCATCTACTCACCAGATCATTTCAATCTATACAGCGAGGCCATTCTCAGAGAATTAAAAGTCCTTCAAGGATTCCTTATTGGCGGCCACAACATAATATATGCAGATGATACAGCGTTGATAGGAGACACAGAAAGGGAATTAAAAGAAGTAAAGGAACGGAAAGAAAGCAAGAAGAAAGGACTAAACATCAATTGCAAGAAGACGGAATACATGGCAATTAGCAGAAAGATCAGTCAGACAGGAAAATTAGAAATTGGAGAGACATTACACAAGGGAGCACTTCAATTTAATTATCTGGGAAGTGTTTTAACTGAGGACGGAAAATGTGGCACTGAAATCCGAAGGCGTATTGGGATATCGAAAGATCCCTTCCAGGAGTTAGAGCATTAGCAAACAGATAAATTTCGTTAGAAACAAAGAAAAGACTACAGAAATGTTTCGTAATATCAGTCTACTACCAAACAGAGAAAAATGTCGTGGTTTGGACATGTTACAAGGCACAATAGACTGTACAAGACATTCAAGGCATTGTTGAAGGTGGATGCAGTAGAAGACGCCAACGTAAAAAGTGTTTGGACAATGTCAAACAATCGTCAAAAGTTACTATACCAGAAACGCAGATGGCTGCCTTTGAGAGACCGTTGTGTAGGAGGTTCAATATGGCTTCTGCATTGGGATACTCCACTACAATTACAAAAGTCAAGGGGATGATGATGATGATGATGATGATGATGTGGCACTGAATGCTGGACAATCTCTTCAAAGATGAAGAGGAGACTTGAAACAACAGAAAGGTGCTTCTACAGAATGATGCTGAACATGTGAACAACGACGAAGTTTTAGAGAAAATGGAGACACAAAATCAAAATTTATACTTAATAAACAGGGACATAATGAGGAGGGAGGGATTGGAAAATCTGATACCCACAGGACAGATTAAAGGCAAGGGTCGTAGGAAAACAACGCATAACCTACGTAGTGAGCTAGATTAAATGGATGGCGGAACTTCGTTTGCGAGGGATAACAAACAGATAAAATTTATTAAGAGCGACAGAAAACGGGAAATTGTGGAGAGCCATAATCGCCTATGTCCCGAAGGGACACAGCACATAGAAGAAGAAAAAGAATGAGTTTGAATAAATGGATGGCGGTACAAGGTTTAGAAGAAATAACAAAAAGACCAAATTTATTAAGAGCTACAAAAAATAGGAAATTGTGGAGAGCTATAACCGCCAACGTCCTGAAAGAACACGGCACATAGAGATGAAAGAAGACCTTGAGGAAATGGATGACTGAACAGATTTTTGGAGCAGTAACGAAAAGACAAAATTTATTAGGATGTATAAAATACAGGAAATGGTGGAGAGACATGATCGCCTAGGTCCTGAAAGGACACGGCGCATAGAAGAAGAATAATGAGCTTGAGTAAATGGATGGCGGAACAAGGTTATTTGATATATCAAAAAGACCAAATTTATTAAGAACTATAGAAGACAGAAAATTGTGGAGAGTCATGACCGCGTACGTCCTTAAGGGACAAGGCACATAGAAAAAGAGTTTACTGAAACGAACTGTATTAAAAAATATTTTATAATCTTCAAGCGATAATAACAGTAAATGTTCGGTCATGAATGTCGCAGGTTTCTTCTATGGCGACGGCTATTTCACCTTTCCATTTCCATCTGTTTATATCAGAAGTCGGATTCACAAGTTGTTCTCAGTACTTTCTCTTAAGATATTCCAGATTTCTCCAATTCTTTCCCCTATTTTGAATTGCCATGTAATTTTGTTTTTTATTTTTTTGGTTTTTTTTCTTTATATATATATATATATATATATATATATATATATAAATATGACTTTACTATATTGTTGAAATTCCTTTCCAAATCATCCTTTGGCTAAAATTCCTCCCATTCGATTGGGAATTTCACCCCTGGGAATCTAGTATCTCCTGCTTGAGAAATACTGGTGTACACATACGAAAATAATCACCGAACTGCAAACAGAAAAAAAAACAAAAACTATCATCCATCAAATTCGTCTACCCTTCTCTTTCCATTTCTTTTTCAAAATGTCTTTCTCTTTATTTTGTCGCCTTTTCGATTTCCAAAAAGTAATCGTCATTCTTTGCATTGCAAACCGCATCTCGTTATTATTATTATTATTATTATTATTATTATTATTATTATTATTATTGTTGTTGTTGTTATTATTTATAACCCCTTATTTTTATGCTGAAGAATTCATTTTTCTGTTTTTAAAAAATGTTTTTGTTCGCCGCTACTTGACTCTTAATCGTAATTATATTCGATTAAGCGCCCGATAATCATCCTGCCGAATTCCTATCAAAGTTCCCTATCCTTACACGTTCTCTCTCTTTTGTTTTCCGCGAATTTTAATTTAATAGAAATAAACAAAGAAACGGCAAATAAACCAATTCTGCCGAATCGAGCGGAGAGACTACGAAGGCAGATGTGTTTTTTAAAAATAAGAAATAAAAATATTTCAGAGAATACGAATTAAGCGTATAAAATAAAATCCCTTTTGTCATTCGTTTTAAAAATAATCAAATGAAACACACACACACACACACACACACACACACACACACACATATATATATATATATATATATATATATATATATATATATATATATATATATATATATATATATATATCAAAAAAAATCAACCATTGCACCTGGCTTTGGAGTACGGGTTGACCTCACGAATTTTGGATATGCGGTATGTCTTTGATCTGGTTATTCAGCGACAAATGTTAGAATTCAAGATTTTTTTTTTAACTTTTATTCTCACATTTGATCTGTTGTTATAAACGGAATTTTAAAGGAAGAGAATATGACTGCTTTTTGATGTTGCTTATATTTGAGAAGTTTAAAAGATTATGGGGAATTAAAAAAAATACAAGTGTGAATATAACGCGGTTATCTCCCTTTTCTACAAAATGAGGAAACGTTCGTTTCTAAGTTCGCTATAAATAGTGTCGTAAACGATAATTAGTTAGAAGTATTTACTACTATTTCTTTAGTAGTTTAGTCTTCAAGGTCAAGATTAGTTTAGCCACCAACTATGGTGAATATTTGAATATGAATACGACACCTGCTATATTCCAACTACGCTCGGGCACTATTTTGATTATATAAGCCCAGTTGCAGACGCCTGCACAGACACATGGGTGATTATTCAGCACCTACAGACCCAGCTCTTAGTTTATACTCTATGCTCTTTATTACAGATGTTCATCCTGCCCAAGTGCCACTCATCGTAAAGGTTTTCAGAGTAATAGGCACCATCTCAAATAAGGTGATAATGCCACTAAGACGCATGGGGGTGGGTACCCGAAGTGAAAGACAATAGAAAAAATATTGCGATATTTATGATCAGAATAATAACAGAAAGAGCAATACCAATACGAAACGATGTAAACCTATGTTCTAAAGATTATCCACATTTTTTTGATAAGAAACAATTTTTATATTTTTTTAAAAATTTCACATCAAGCAAGGTAATAAAGCCACTAAGACGCAAGGAATTACGAAGTGTTAGAGAACATGAGAAAAAAAAAAACATTATTAAGGTGAGGTAGCAATAAAGAATAAAATATTAAAAGACAAACGATAACGAATTTTTTCCCACTTGAGTTTGCCATTTCTTTCTGGGGTAGACTGGTTGCCAAGCAAGGCTAAAGAACCCAGGCTGTTCTGCTATTTAACCCATAGCTGGGAGGAGAAGTGATGGATTTATACATTTACCAATGGTATTTGTGCGTAAGTAAATCAAACGAACGTGACTGGAATTCGAACTCGGATTTCACACCATAACGGAGCAGCTACTTAAATACGAGTATCCACTAAAAATAAGATTTAAGTCATAAAAATCTGTCGAATTACTAAATAAAATTACATTTCTTTCTTAAGAAACTGCTTTCTTTACGTGATATATATATATATATATATATATATATATATATATAGAGAGAGAGAGAGAGAGAGAGGGGAGAGGATATATATATATATATATATATATATATATACTTATGCAATGAGAACGAATGTAATATATAAATTCTAACGTTCATAGCATTAATCCAAAAGAGGGATCGATACCAAGAGCGATGATTATTTATTATAATTTTATCATATAGTCAAAAACAGGTTACTCACTCATATATATATATATATATATATATTGTTAAATATAACAGAAAAGGAATAAGTATTATCTTTGATCATGAGCCGTTCTAAGCTTTGTATTGTTGCTTTAATTTCAAAACAAAACTATGACAAAAACTATCCAACATTTGGATATATTTTATTAAGCTGTTTCTTGATCTAAGGTTTCAGCTCACATGTGCCATCTTCAAAGTGGTTTTACGGGCATTTAAACAAAGATATTCTGCATAAAAGATGATATTTTGTTATGTTGATATAGAAGATTGCTATGCAACGATAACGGTCGCGGAATAGCAGACGCAGATCGTAAATTTAGATGCGGTTCTATGATGTCGTACCACGTGAGAGATCGAAATATTAAGAACAGAACCATATGTCTAGATGCTGTGTAATGTGTTGTGACTAGTTTGAAATGTAATTTTGTTGAGTTTGAGTTGCTTCGTTTTAATGTAGTTGGATTCTAATATCTGAAAGTTCTTTTACTATGTATATATCTGAGTATTATTGTGTTATCAAATAATATATGTCTAATATTATGTACATGGCAATGTTTTTCTAAGAAATGTTGTTTAATAGAACAAGGATCTGAATAGTGACAGGTAAGTCTACGGGAGAGCGTGGTTGTTGTAAAACCAATATATCTAGTGGGTTTATTATTAATATCAGAGATACAATCTCTGAACGGGGCATCTAAATTGATACGCTACATTGTTTTATTTTTGTTTTTTGTTGAGGATTTAATTGTGTGGTTGTAGGGTTATTAGATACTATGGGGTCAATTGTTTTAATTTCTTTTATAAATATAATGAGCTTAACTTAATATTTTTTCCAGCCAAGTGAACAATGAAAAATTGAAATGTTTCAACTTCTTTCCTTCGCCATCTTCCGCACAATCCCAACTTTCTCACATTCTCGCTAAATCTTGCTTAGCTAATCGCATTCTGTAGTTCTCCTTCATCCCCTCACTCATTCTCTATATTTCTCTACCATTCCCTCTCACTCATACTCTCTTCTGTAGTTCTCTCTCGTTTCCCCTCAAACATTCTCCCTCTGTATTTTTCTCTCATTCCTTCTCACTCATTCTCTTTCTGTAGTTCTCTTTCATTCCTCTCATTCATTCTCCCTGTAGATCTCTCTCATTTTTTCACAATCATTTCTCTCTCTCTCTCATTTCCTCAATGTAGTTCTCTCTCCCATACCTCTCATTACTTCTCTCCCTGTAGTTCTCTCTCGTTCCCTTTCGCGTATACTCTCTCTGCAATTATCTCTGTATGCCTCTCACTCTTACTCTCTGATTCCCTCTCATTGTGCAGCTCTTCCTCATTCCCCATTACTCATTCTTTATATTTCTCTCATACCCCCTCACTCATTCTCCCTGTCGTTCTCTCTCATTTCGTTTCATTCATTTTTTCTCTGTATTTCTCTTTCATTCCCCCTCTCTATACTCCCTCTGTAATTCTCTTTCGTTGTTTCTCATTTTAACTTATTATTCCTTTATAGTTCTCTCTCATTCTTCTCATTCATACTCTCTCTCTCTGTAGTTCCCTCTCACTCATTCTCTCTCTTCCCCCTTAACCCATCCTTATTTTTACTCGCACCATTTTAAAGCGTTTTGTTTTTCTTTTCAATCTTCCATTTTTTAGGGGACGTCTTTTCATAGAGTTCTTACTGTAATTTTCTTCCATTTGTTTCTTGTCCTTTCTTTCTACTTTCTTTTTGTAATTTTATTTATGTTTTTCCTTCCTTCTTTCATTATCTTTTCATTCTTTTCTTTCTAATTTCATTCATTATGTCATTCTTTGTTTATCATTTCTTGCTTGACTTTCTAACTTTATTCATTTTGTCTTTCTTTCATTCTTCCTCGGAAATTTACCATGTTATTGAGAAAGCATAATTTAGTTTCGCCAAACATATGATGGACCCGTGTAAGATCAAAATCACTCCACAGTCGTCAGGCAGTGATTCGGTCTCAAAATATTACCTCGTATAACAATGTCTTTAAAAAGATAGCCTTAGTATAGTCTGGCAAAAGTTCACCAGTATGATGTATGCAGAAATGCTATAATCGGTAACAATTGTTCGTCAGACTAGGCATTAGCCTACGCGAAGCCTCCTAATTTTTGCCAAAGATTAATATAGATCGGAACAAGGCCATGAGGATGCGTAGCCCAGTGAAGATCAAACTCAGTGCTCAGTAATGGCTGATCAGACTAACTATCTCGCCATTATCCAACAAGGAATCATTTACTTTATATTAAAACTTCTCTCGTTGTTTTTGTCTTTATCATTTATTATTATTCGATTCATTTTTCTTTTCTTTGGGCTAAATATTTTGCGCGGACGGTGTAAGGATTAGTAGCACGAAACGATAAATCGGCAAGGGGAGTTCGAATTCTAGGGAAGATCATTGCATTCACTTTCGCGGCGATTAGCTTTTAAAAGACATAAATCCAGTTCATGCTAAAACCAGGGTAGACAGGGCTCTTAAGCATTGGTTGTCAACACATGTAATAGAAGAACACTACTGAATTCCTCAACCCGGTTCGTTGGAACTCTTTAGCATGTGAAGATCTATTTTTCTAAGGTAAAATAGAACCCCGACAAAAAGCCAAACCAGTCGGGAGTCTTGTATGTGGGCGACAATCATCTAACTGAATAGAACGATTCGTTTAGGTTTACTCGTAGATCAAATTTCCAGATTTGATTTCGCTGTCATATATTATTTAAACGGGGATAACAGAGACCTTCGAAAAAAGCATGGTATGTGGAACTAGAACAATCTCCCCCGGTGGACAAAATAAAGAGTTCGATTTGAAATTCAAAAATGTAAATGGTGCAAATAATCATAATACCTCATCTCAGAAATATGGAAGAAGATCGGAGTATAGAACGACCGAAACGTCGTGAATATGGCAACAAAGATGATGGCAACAGTTGGGAAAATTTAAATAGTGTAAATAATTGCAATAACTCATCTCAGAAATGTAGACAGATCCTGAAGAAGGCTGGAGCGTACAACGGCTGAAACGTCGTGAATATGGCAAGAAAGATAAGGGCAACAGTCCAAACAATGTAAATAGTGTAAATAAATATAATACCTCATCTCGGAAACATAGACAAATAACTCCGATATTTATTCGCCTCCGCCATATAGTGGCAGGATAAAACATGGTCTTTTTTAACGTGATCTGGTAATGCGCGTACATAAAGTACCTGAACAAAAAGCAGCCCATTCCATGCGACCTTTGTCACACTGGTGTTCATATTTCACTAAGCCTCTCAGTTTATTGCAATGAGGGAGGTGCTGCCATAGTGTTAGAATCCTTGGTGTCAAGTGTCCATTAACCCTTTTCTCTCATGAGACAAAAATACGGTAGAGATATGAAGGACAGATACTACACTTTGGTCGAAATCGAATAAGCCCCATTTACTGCTAGTATAAAGATCATTTGCTATCAGTCCTTTATATATATATTACTAACAAATTGCGTTTCCTGCAAAATCCTTCAAATTTAATTTGTATTACACTCTAGAAATTCAATTTTAAAAGCATGCTTTAATAGATATTTTTACTCTGTTATTTATTTTTAATTCAAATTTTAAAAATTGGCGTACGTAAGAGATTAATGGTCAGTGTTGAATCAGACCAGGAAAAATTGGTTTTAAAAAGTGCTTAATACATGTGTTAAAAGAATAAAATAAAAAAAAATACCATGTAGAGAGTTAACTTTAAAAATCAAGAGATCAGTTGAATCAGTCACTTTGGTTTAAACCTTACGGTATACTCAGGCTATTTTTATCAAATGACTTCTTAACGCTTTATTTTTTAAAAAAAATAATGAACGGAATATGCAATATTTCTGTCAAAAATGTTTTTCAATTCATCGTCTTTGTATATAAATATATTATATCAGGCTTATCAAAATTCAGTAGTGAATGCGAAATTCTCAAGCATGATTGTGGTCTGATAGCTCTTCTAAAGTCAACCTGACAAAATTCATAATTCCAACTCCAAATCTACAACATTTGAAAATAAATTAGTTATAGTAGGGTTTTTTTATTACCATCTTCAAGACAATCGGAGATATAATTAGGAAGAAAAATATATCCAATACCAATTCATATGCCAGGATTTATCAAATGTTTTGCATCTATCGTTCCGTTTTTTTTTAAATCCAGTTCCTTAATTTTATGTTCTTCCATTCTTCTATACTTACCTAGAATTCTCACCATTTTCTTTATATACCTTGCTTCCTTCTTATTATCTTTCTAGCTTTTCTCGTATTTCTTTGTTTCAATACCAAGACATCTTCTTCTTCTCTTTTAAACATTTCCCTACCATTCTTCTGTTTCTTTCGCCTTCCATACTTTCCACATTCTCGACTTCCTCTTTCTTAATTTAACAAAAACAGAAAATATATGAATGGTTTCCATTTCTTCAGAACATCTTTTGGCCCCTAAATAACACAAGATTTTATGTCTCTTCATGCATCTCCTTCCTTTCCCTTCCGTAAAAAAATCTCCCCTAACGTTTAACATATTTCAATGTCGGCACAGCAGATAATTCACATGCTTCAACTTCCATTCTTTGCACTCCAAGATACTTACTGTCCCTTCCCACTTCAATGTCATGTTTTTAAAAAAAATTTACAGTGAACAGGCGAGTCCACTCTTCACTGAAGCCTTTTACCTCCCATCGCAACAAACAGTCAGGCATGTAGCACACGCGCATGCGCAGAAAATTTCTCTTCAGCCATCTTTAGACTTTAAAAATTAAAATCTTTTTCGCATTTTCCTTTACCTTCCTTACCGTTCTTCTTTTCCCTGTACTTGCTTTTGCATCTTACGTTTCCTCTCGTGAGATCGACGCATCCACTGACAACTGTCCTTAGCTAATTCGTCCATTGGTTTTGTTAGGATTGGCTTCGAGTCAAATGCAAAACACTAGGATCACGAAGAACATAGTAATTTCATGAACAATAATGGACGGGAAGAATAGCAGAGTTCTTTGGATGAAAATAGGGTCCTGATGTCTTAAAGATGTTTCTTGAAATAAAAATTTAATGTTCCTGATTATTAACTGAATGCATAAAAGAAAATTTAATGACTTATAATTAAAAATATATTCAGATGTCAAGTTGAACATTTTTAAGTTACATTATATATTTTCACATACACATATACATACACAAAGGCACAAACACACACACACACACACACACACACACACACACACATATATATATATATATATCTCACATAGAGTGCTAGGGTCAATAAAATAGGGCTCAATGTGATATGGCATAGCTATTAAATATATATTAACAAATATACATATTATCTCTCACTGGTAGCAAGACTTAGAGTTTCGTGTATAACACAATCTTCAGGTGCTGGGTAGAGACTGACAAAATTTAACTTTTAATAAAAAATATCTGATTAACACAATGCTGCTTTAGTCTATATATTATACGGGTTTTGAGCGTTTTTTTTTTAAGTTAAAAATATATATTGAATTTAAAATAGTATCTTTATTACACATGTATAAAATTAGTAGGGATAAGTATTGTATTTTATATTTAAGATAAACAGGGATTAATGGTATTTATTTGAAAAAAAATATTAAAATAGAGGGACATAAAACTATATGAAAAAACTATTTATAGCTGTGATTATTATTTTATCTTAAACATAAGGGGAGATAACTGTTTTTTAAAAAATTGAAAACACTTTTTTAATAAAATCTTTGTTAAAAACATTTTTTATATAAAAATAAATGGATCTAGGAACCATAAAAAAAATATTTAAAAAAGCATAAAAAACGAAAGGTCATAATTTACATTAAAAATCAATCTGGGACAAAGTGTTTTAACAAATATTTATTTATATGCCTACATGTAACTATCACTTGTTTAATAAGCTAAGGTGTTTTAATTTTTCTACAAGGCATAAATTACATCTATCGCCGTTCCTGTTGTAAATTTTGGTTTTTGCTACAATATCCCACGCAATAATTGGTATATTAGCACCATTCTTTAATCGCCATATTTATTTTGAGAAAGCAGTGCTGTTTATGTATTTAACACTATTTAAAATCATTCGAAGATGGTAGAAGCGAAATTTCCAAGGATTTTCATTGGTCATTTAAGGGACAGATCTTTCTTTTCGGCCGTTGTATTTATTTTTCAAAAGATTAAATTTACTGGACATTTCTTCTTTCGTACCGGTGAGTGATTAAAGTGTTTATGAATTATAAATATTCTTCCAATATTTGTTTGAACATTACGATTAAAGATTGCAATAAACGATATTATATGACGGTGTCTCTCTTTATTTTTCTCTTTTTAGTTTCTTCTAAATATTCTAAATTTATTTGATTGTTGCTTCTCTTAATAAACCACTGGGCACTTCGACGTGACGTAATGGTTAGCAAGCATGACTAATGAGCCCGATCCTCACTGGATGCTTCTTACCCTGGCCTTGTGATACATGTAAATCGTAAATCACTATATATATATATATATATATATATATATATATGAGAAAAAGAAACATTCACCTAATGAAAAATTTAA